GCTGCACAACGCGGGAGAAGCCTACGAGCCGGTGATTGGAGCCCAGGGCGGTAAGTGTGGCTTCGAGTCCTTTCCTCGCTCCAAGCTTTGATCCGTTCCCCTCATCTCCGAGTTGAAGTATCCAGGGCAGATGCCAGCTCTTAGGGCTCGCCGTGTGCACGCACTGAACGGAGCGTCTACCTGCATCCCAGCACCGGGCTCAGCGGCTCGCCGTTTCACAGCTGGAGACACTGAGGCTAGTCGAGGGCAAGGCAGTGGCCCGAGACCACAGCCAGGGAGGGAGGGAGCCGGGACTCAAAGCCAGTCTGGCTGCTCCGGGAGGCTGTGTGCCCTTGCCGTCCGGTGCCGTTCGCCGGCATTTGTTGTGCGCCTGTGTACACGCGGGGCGTCGTCAATGGGAAGCTGATCGTGTGGAGGTGGCAGGAGGTTGAATGTGTCTATACACGTGAGGACGCGGGGCTGATACTAACGGTGTGTGCATTTTGCTCTACAGTTTACAGGACCACACCCCTTTATGTTGTTTCAATTGCAACAAACCTCTAGGTAGCCTTCCTCTTCTCATATTTCAGATGAAGACACTGGGGATTAGAGAGGTGAAGTGAGTTGTCCAGGCAGAGCCAGGGCTGAAACCCAGCTCTCTCTGCCCCCAAAGCTCCTGATGGCCGGGGATGACCCCAGGTCTGGGGCATGTCAGCGTTCTTGCAGGTTCCGAGCGCGTTCCTGGGGACCTTCAGCTGGAGTGGGCATCTGCATAAACTCCTTGTGTGGGGAGGATTCTGCTGAGAGCTGGGGGCTATGTTCTGCAGTCCCGGGGAGATGGGCTGCCCTAGATGGACAGAACCAGGGCCAGCCCCTCATGTGGGCATCCCCAGAGCCTCCCTTGCCAAGTGCTAGGCTGGTGGACAGGCCAGAAAGGGCTTAGCCGACGCCTGCTCATTGAAGTCCAACTTGAATTGGGCATCTTTGAGCCAAAAGGTGAGTAGTTGCTGTGGTCGAGAGAAGCAACTGGTGGGGGGCGGGAGGGGGGGGGGCTGTGCAAATACCCAGCTTGCCTTGCAATACAGAGTGGGTTTGTGAGTTTTTACCTTGAGCATCTGAGCCCCTTATTCTGGCAGAATAGGGTGAGCCACCTTTCCCAGCTGGGCCAGGGCATCTAGGGTGTAAAGTCTGACAGGTCCTGCAGAAAAAGACGAGGGGCAGGTCCCCTTCCCCAGATAGACTGAGAAGGCTCTTTGTGTTTTGTGTACCTGCCTTCCTGCTTCTGCCTCTGATCTGACTATTTTCACAAGGGAGGAGCAGAAGGTGTGGGGGCTGTACTGCTAGTGTAACAGGTATGAGGCCCTGCACTTTACCTGCATTATCATCCCTGCAACACACCTGGGCAGCAGGCCTCTTGATGCCCATTTCACAGATGAGAAAACCAAGGTTCAAAGAGGTGAAGTGCATGCCAAGGTCCTCTAGCAGGTGTGCCTTGCTGTCACCCCCAGGTCTGTCTAGCTGCAGACCCCACTTAACCCCTGGGTCCTGCCTCCTTTAAGATAATTCTCTGCTCAACCCCCAACTCCACCTCTGGGCCGGACTGTCACGCAAGGTGTTGTTTTGTCTGAGGTGTTGTTTTGTCTGGGAGGGGCTCCAGGTAAAACCGCTGTCAGCCAAGTTGATCCCAAGCCTCAAGTCCCTGACGGTGCACCCCGGGAGGAGAATGAAGAGGGTCATTTTGATTTTTACAGAGTCTCTTAAGATGTAGGAGTTGGAACAGTAATAATAACATTTATAATCATAGCAGCCTGACATTTACCCAGCACTATGGGCCAGCCGTGCCCAGGGTTTTACATGGATGATGTCACTGACATTTTTATGAGGTGGGCACTGGCCCGTCCTCCTCTTGAGCAGGAGGAAATTTGGGGCTTGGAGTGATTGAGGCATGTACCCAGCATGACACAGCCAGGGCAGGGGAGAGCTGCCATCCTGGCTGGGCCCTGCCCCAGATTCTGGAAGGAAATGCTCATCCAGTGGTGAGCCACTGGACTGTCCCGGCAGAGCCTGCGCTCATCAAGGCTTCTCCTGCCACTGGGACCGAGGTCCCTGCCTGGGTCAGGGGTGGGTCTGGAAAGGGGACGCACTATATGGGGGCTTGGGCTCCACTCTGCCAACAGGTACTGCTCAGTGCAGAGAGCCCTGCCCCAGGACCCAGGTCAATATTGGCTCCCAGAATCCTGTTTCTAAATGCGAGAGAAGAGCTGGCTGGCTGTCTGGGGGCGGGAATGGAGTTCTGGCAGACGAGCTCGAGGCCTCTGGGAGCTCCCGCATTTCACCCCTCCCTCAAACGCCCCCGTGGGCTATCCGGCCTCGACTCAGTTGCCTTTACTCAGTTGCATGTGAAAACTGGCTTTCAGAGGCAGGACCCCCAGCGCTGACCCCTTTGGCCTTGCGGGAGCTGGAACATTTCTTTTCTCTGTCACCAGTGTAATTTACTATGCATGGGAGGTGCCTCTGTGTCTGCTTGCTCCCAACCTACGAGGCTTTTTTCCCTTTTTTCTTTTGCAAACTCACTGGTTTTTGATCAGTCCCAGATGTGCAAACCCAGCATCACTCAAAGGGGCTGATGGCTTGTCAAGAAAGGAAAGTACAACACAGGCATCGCTTCATTTCATCTTCAGTTCCTTGAGCTGAATAGACTCTCAGGCCTTCTTGGGACGGGGGTCTGGGGCCCCTCACATGGAACACGCTTTGTTCTGGAACAGGGAGGGCCGGGCAGATCTGGGTGGTGGTTGGTAGGGCCAGCCATGCCCTTTTCTCTTTCTCTTTCCCTTGGAAAAAAAGTGGTTTTATTGTGGTAAAACCGGCATAAACGTAAAAGCTACCCTATTGACCATTCTAAAGTGTACAGATCAGTGACATTTAGTGCACTCGCAATGTTGTGCCAACATCCCCATGATCTAATTCCAGAACATTTTCATGACCCCAAAAGGAGATCTCATAGTCATTACTAGCAGTCACTCCCCTTCCTCTCCTCCCCAGCCTCTGGGAGCTACTGATCTACCTTCTGTCTCCATGGATCTACTAGTCTTGACATTTCATACACGTGTGGCCCTCTGTGACTGGATTCTTTTGCTTAGTATGATGTTGTCCAGGTTCATCCATGTTGTGGTGGCTTCATTCCTTTTCATGGTTGAGTAATATGCCATTGCGTGGCTAGCCTGCATTTCGTTTCTCCATTCTTCTGTTGTTGGAAGTTTGGGATGTTTCCACATTTTGGCTATTGTGAATGATGCTGCTATGAACAGTTGTGTACATGTTTTTGATTAAACACTTATTTTAAACACCTGTTTTGGGTCTACACCCAAGAGTGGAATTGCTGGGTCACGTGAACCTATTGAGGAACCGTGTTCTCTTTTCTTGACTCCCTTCTTAAAGAAGCATCAACTCAGGTCCTCTCAGAATTGGTCGAGGCCCTCTGCCCTGGGTGCAGGGACATCTGGCATCCGGGTGTTTTGGGAGAAGTGTTAGCATTCCACCCAGGGTCACAGCAGCACCTGGCTTTGTCCCCCAGGCTGTGCCCCTGTGGGCACTCGCAGACAGACACCCCCCTTTCAAGGCTGTGAGGACAGGCCGTCTCTCTCGTGATTCAGCCCGAAGGAGATTTATCTTCTCCATTGTCTCAAGTGCTTTGTCAGCTTAGACAGAAACCACAGATTCGGGGGGGAAAGGAGAGGATTATGCAACTTCTGGATCATCATTTAAAAAATATTATAAATTATGAAATCCCACATTTTCAATCTGAATGTCTGGATTGTGTCCCATTGTGAATGCAGAATGACAATATCCCAAGCTGGAAAAAGAATCGGGCTCTCTTTCTTTAATTTTTTTTTAAAAATTGATTTTCAAGAGAGAGGAAGGGAGAGGGAGAGAGAGAGAGAAACATCAGTCAGTTGCCTCCCGCAGGCACTCCGACCTGGGACCAAACCCGCCTTCTGGGCGTGCGCCCTGACTGGGAATCGAGCGGGCGACCTTTCAGCGAACAGTGTGCTGCCCAACCAGCTGAGCCATACCGGCCAGGGCTCGAGCGTCCATCTCACTTGCAGTCAAGTGGTCCTGGAATGGACCCTGCCCCAGCGTTCCTGCGAATTGGAAAAAGCCCACCCGGAACTCTCTAGCTGGCATCCAGCTGACTTGATCAGAGCCCGAGAAATCTTTCCAGACCAAAGAAGCAGTGTTCTCTGGCGGGGAAAGGTGATAGCGGGTGGGGTGCTGGCGAGGGTGCCCCAAGTGGAGGTAATGTGTGTGCAAAGGCCCGGGGGTAGGAGAAGGCCTGGCACCCAGGGAGAAAGACAAGACGTTCTGAGTGGCTGAGTTCAGGGTCGGATTCAGGAACAGCGAGGGTCTGCCCTGCGAGTGGGGTGAGCTCTACTGAGTTTGGATCCCCTGCCACCGGTTGCAGGGCTAGGAGTGTATCAGGGTGATGGTTTCACTTGAGAACACATCACTGTGGAATGAGTAGTGTCCCCCAAATTGTGAGCATCCCATCCCGGCTGGTCCCCTAGGTCTGTGGTCGGCAAACCGCGGCTCGAAAGCCACATGTGGCTCTTTGGCCCCTTGAGTGTGGCTCTTCCACAAAATACCACATGCGGTCGCGCACGTATAGTGCGATTGAAACTTCGTGGCCCATGCCCAGAAGTCCGTATTTTGTGGAAGAGCCGGTATTTTGTGGAAGAGCCACACTCAAGGGGCCAAAGAGCTGCATGTGGCTCGCAAGCCACGGTTTGCCGAGCCGCAGTTTGCCGACCACTGCCCTAGGTGACCGAGCGTTGGCACAGCAGCAAAGCTCACCAATCCAGGACTGTTCCTTCCTTCCGTGTATAGCAAGGCCAGGGTTTCAGGT